GTTAGGATAATTAATTGGTGGACCCAGGGGCCCAGAGGTTTTTTGGATCCTCCATTGTTAGAGGTTTTGAAAGACTTGACTAGACAAAGGCCTGAGCAACCTGGTCTGACTTCATAGCTGACCCTACTTTGATCAAGAGGTTGGACTACAGATCTCCCAAGGTTCCTTCCAACCTGAATTATTTCATGATTCTGTGATAAAGGTCTGTGATATACAAAGGTTTAGAAGGATATTACTTCATTGTCCTGAAAAATCCATGGATCTAGGTTGCCTTTTTTTTTTTAAAGAGATTGAAGTAATTGATTTTTTTTCTTTCAGAAATTATAGATAACTCTTGAATGACTTCTCATAAGTTTGTCTGCTTTCGACTTTAGAGGGGCTGCTGAATGAAGATGTTGCATCTGAAAACACGCTGCAGAGCCTGTATTTCACGTTTTTCTGTCTTTTTTGCAATGTTATAATTTTGTGGAGTGTTTATTACCTTTTGGCTTATAGTGCTTTACAGGCTCTTTATACCTTTCACTAATTTTCAGCCAATCAGTACATTAATGAGAGCAATGGCCTATGGATTTCCAATCTGTTGTATTGCAATTGCGCTGCTCTGGATATTGCAAGAATTTATGCCCCCTGAATCTTTATTTGCAAGACAATTCTGTAGTTGTTTTCCATCTTGGGCATCCAGTAACAGTTCACATACTTCAACAGTAGAATATCTTTGTAATATATTCTAATTTACAAAGGCTTTCTCCCCCCCTAGTTACCCAACTATGCTGTTAATATATTAGTATACCCCTTGAATGTTTGTCTTGAGCCTTTTTTTTATTTGTGATAACTTCCATCACACTTTGAGCTGGCTGAATTCCGGTGCACTGGAGTCCTTTCGTACTAATCTGTGTTTGCTCTGTGTGGTCTATAGGCTTCTGGTATGCCAGGAAACAGTGAAAGGTTGCTGCTTTTTTTTTTTTCTTCAAATTTGTATTTTTGATCTTATATCAGTCTAGTTCGGACACTGAAAGATCTAGGTCATGCAGATTTGGTGATTTTTTTTTTTTTTTTTTTTTTGATATTCAGAAAGTCTTGAAGTTGTGTGTGTTTCATCTTAATAGAGACATTCCATATAGTGCTAAATTTGTGACTTTTTTTTTGCCAGCTGTATGAAACAGGGTTAACATTGATTAGAAAAAGGGGTAATTGCCAGTCTCCAAAGAGACATTTGCTTAAGTTTTCACTCTTAGTTCCAGTAACAATTTTTAAATTCATTTGTGACATTGGAAATGGAGAACAAATTAATCTCTTGTGCAGTCTTGCTTTGAAAATCTGGCTGTTGGACTTATGAGTTGAAGTACCCAGTTCACAAAATACTGAACTGAAAATTATACGCATCGTGTTAGAAACAGTGTTTGCAGTCTTATCAGTTTTTGATGTTGCCATATTTTATATCATATTAACTGTAGTCCTAGTAGAGGTAGGAGTAAACTTTGACTGCTTGCTAAAAGCTTTGCTAGTGTAAGTGGGAAGCGCATCTGTTCTGCGTTTTTAAGTGCTTGTTCCTGAAGACGGTCCTGTCTTCAGTCAGCAGCTGAACAACCAGCGTCTGTTTATTTGCTTCAGCAGTGCTGGTCTACCTCTGCATTTCTGTGATGCAACGGCAGTTAAGTCTGATAGACTGGTTCTGGAAACATCGGTATGTTGCTCTGCTGGCAAAACTCTTTGTGCTACTATAGGAAAGACATTCATGAGCAAAGCAGTCTGTCAAGGGAAAATACAGACTTGTTGGTGTATCTGTGCTTCAGCTGGCAGTATTTCATTGACACAGTCCTGTTGGTAAGAGGTTAATGATGAGGAGTAAGTGGCTGGTACCTAAAAATTAACAAGAAGGTTTTGCTAGTCAGAGTAGACATGGTGGCTTACTTGATTCTGCTTAACTTACTTTTTTTTTTTTTTCTCAAATATAAAATCTTAATTCTTGCATGGGAATGCTGTAATTTTGCGTTTGTTTTTTGTGACCTCCACTGATGACTTTTGACTAACTTAAATTTTTGTCACATCAAAATATTTTATTCAAGTCCAGCTTAACTGAATCTTGAGAAGTGGGATGTACTATTCTTGTTGTCTTGCTGTTTGCTCAATGGAAGTTGTGCACAGATCTGATAATAGTCTGTTAGCACTGTGAGGTTTTGGAGTTTTTTGATTACCTTTTTTTTTAAAAAAGAAAAAGCTGGGGGAGAAAAAATGCTCTTTAACTGATACAAAGAAGTTGCATACAAAGCAAGGTATTTTGGAACATTATATTTAGTAGATGTCTGCCTGAAGCAAACTTAATTGGATGGGAAGAATTGTGAGATTTCACGACAGCCTAATTCTGAGGCTTGGTCTGTGTGCGTGTAGGTTCTGATTATTTTCAGTAAGGTAGTTATGCTAGTAAAAGGCCTGTTATGCAGTTTGTTCTGTTAAATTGCAATAAACTGCATGGATACAACTGCTGTGCCAAAGAATTGTTATGTTGTTTTGATTTTGATGGTCTAGCTAAGACAGTAAAACTTAACTGTAGGCAAAACTGAAGTCGATGTTCACAGCTACCAGTTTGCCCCACAGATAGTTAGCTTTTAAATCTCTATTGTGTCAATAAACGCTTCCCATATATATTGCAGTGCAACACACAGCATGATTTTATTCTAGTTTATCCTAAATTTTTTTTTTTTTAAAGTGCACACATCTATTTTGAGACTGTCTAAAATCTGTAGGCAGAAGTGCTAAAAGTTTGGACTATGGATGTTTTGTTCCCTTTGTTGTTTTCCAACTTGTGGACTCTAGCAGGTCAACACAATGTCTTGCCTGGAATTTCCTTGCATTCTAAAATTAGGAGAAGGATCTAGGAAACAATAGCAAATCAAGTCTCTAAACCTCCTGCTCTGGCTTGAACCTTTGTTGTCATTTAGACTTTCACCTACTTCCTTTCTTATTAAACTGATTTGCATTAGATAAACTGAATTAAAAAGAACTTACGCTGTTCAGTGTCGAGGAGGATTTTTTTTTTTTCTTCTTTTTTTACTTATTATGATCTCCTCTACTACTTTAGGACATCAGGAGTATGAATTTCATATCACTGCTGTTCATCCCAGAGCACTTCTCCCATTCAGTACGGGGAGCGATGTGGAAGTACGACAACCTCGGCAAAGCAAAGGCTGCGCCACGTTTTGCAGTCCCTCAAACACGCACTTGCGCCCGGCAGCGCTTCCTGACCGAGACATCTCTATGGGAAATTGCTGAGGTCTTGATCTACAGCAGAGAAACTTCTCAAGTTATGTTATTAGCCCTCATCATCATTCCTTCTAGTGGGGCAAGCAGCTCTCTTTATGGTCTGGGTATCTTTTCACGGTTATGTTGTGCATCACCTTTTCATTCCTTACCCCTCCATTGTCTGGTCTGTATTACTGTTCTTTGCAACATTATGAGTGACAGTTGTGGGTGTCCCACCACCCTGAACCTGAACAAATCTCAACACCCCCACAGCTATTCCTGGGGAGGTCTGTTTCAGCAGCCTTTTATGCAGATGGATTACTGGAAAGGCAACTGAGAAGGAAGGTTCAGACCTCAGATTCTTGTTTGCTCCTTCTCAGTATGATCTGTGTAAGCAGCCCTGACTCTCTGGACATGTTTTGTGATCTGTAAGTAATCCTGCCATTACATCTTCTGTTGCTTACTCTAATTCCCTCTCTGCCTCTGGCGTAGGACAGACAGGATGCTTACACGGATTAGGAATGGCTTCTGCGTGTTACTTTGTAGACCTGAGTTTGTTCCTAGCTTCATCACTACTTTCTTTTGCATCGCAGGTTGAGTTATTAGCTTCTTGAGGTTTGGCCATCTAAAACTCAGAAACTGTTAGAGGTGACTTAGAGCACTTGTCTGTACTGTGGCAGAACCCAAACACATAATCAGAGACACAGTGTTGCTACGTGTGTGTGAACAGTCTCTGCCTTTATCTATTTGTGGGTTATGGGTAAACTTCTTAAAACTGTCTCATTTTCTGCAGTGGCCCAGTATTATTTGTTTGTTATTCCCAGGCACTCTGAAACGATCCAGGAAATGCAGCAAACACCACAGCCTTGGTTTCCATCCTGTCCAGTATCCTATGTCCGACAATAGTTAGAAGCAGCTGCAAGATTTGTTCAGTTGATAATTATAGTATGTTGTTTTTAGTAAACTTACTGAGAGGGTGTTGATGTCTAGAAAGAGTATGATTGATGAATCTTGTAATTTACCATTTACAGCTAATATAATTGACTTCTGAGGACAAGGGTAGGTGTGAAGAAGTTGGATGTTGTTAGACTAGGAGACCTCTAGAGGTCCCTTCCAGTCAACATTTCTGTGACTGTGGTATTTCTAGAAAGGAATTTTCTTTCCTTCTCTAATTCTTTGTTACTTGGGCCCTACAGATAGTTTGCCTGCTCCTTTTCTTTTCTGGTACAAGTGGCACAAATGCTTTGTCTGTTGATGTCCTGACAAAATGTACTGTACAGCAGATGTGTATGACAGCAGGGAAAGGACTTCAGTCTGGAAGTCCCCTTATGTTTCTCCTTTGTTGGCTTCTCTGGACCAGACTCATAAACACTGTAGTGTCTGCTGGCAAGCTGCTTTGTAGTGACTTCCTCATGATGCTAGTATTTGAATGCCTAAGATGAACTGTTATCTTAGGAAACAAGGAACATCCATTTTTTTTATCCTACAAGGGAGGGAGAAGAGCCGTGGGATAATAGAGATGTTAAATGAATCATCAAGCTAAACTCATTAAATGCCTTTCTTCTTTCACCCTTGTCTCTTGTAGACCTTAATCAGGGTTCTCATCTGTGCAGCAACTGCACTTTGAGGACCTCACCAGGACAGAGGTTATGAGAGAAGGCAGTTATCTCCAGGGATGGATGCTCAGGTTTGCCCTGAGGTGAGAAGACAGGTTTCCCACAGAACTGCTGCTGACCCAGTTTTGTTCTCTCCTGTCATAGCCTTTCTTTAGGCTTCTGAACCTGCGCAAGCTGGGTCTGAGTGACAATGAAATCCAGAGACTTCCCCCTGAGGTTGCCAACTTCATGCAGCTGGTGGAACTGGACATCTCCCGTAACGGTAAGGTCAAAGCTAAATGGGGAGTGGGTGCCCCACAGCCCTGCTTCTCTCAGTGTAGTAGTACTACCCTGTGCACTCATGTTCTGGAAGAGGCAGTATCCTTTCACAGTCCTGCAGAATGATCTCTCGTGGGTCCTGAGCTACGAAAATATGGTTGTCTTACAGCGTCTTAGGCTGTCACCAGTATCTGGTGCTCCATTTTCCACATGATAGGCTCTTCTCAAGCCTCTTTTTTTCTTTCACATGTTTTTTCCAGACATTCCAGAAATTCCTGAAAGCATCAAATTCTGCAAATCCTTGGAAATCGCAGACTTCAGTGGGAATCCTCTCTCCAGGTAGGAAGGCATATGCAACCCTTTTGTCCAGCTGAGAATGAGAGTTGAAGTTCCTCATTCTCCCTAGCATTCTCTGGTCTTCATCTTGTAATTATCTTCCCTTGAAGTCAAGGCCTAGGGTCACCCTGCCTTTGCCAAGACCTGCAGATGTCTGCTCTCCTGACAGGTGGAACAGTCAGCATAGAGAAGAGCTGGTGTGTGCTCCCTCTTCTGTGGGGCCTATAGCTTGGATTGATGAGCCTTTAATCATACTGTTGTCACTGGTGTGAATGGTGAGGACTTTTGTCCTCTTGGAATAAGTTTGTTACTCCCTCCCCACCCCTTCACCCTGCTGCACAAACCGAAATGGATGTGGGCTCATTGTACTACAAGGGAGTAGAGAAAGGTCTGCATACTACCCTCTGCTCTCTTGTCAGTCCTTTTTGCTCTCTTGTCAGTCCTTTTTGCTCTCTTGTCAGTCCTTTTTGCTCTCTGACTTCTTATTTATAACTTAGGATGGCCGTCCTTTGAACTCTGTGTTTGGTCGGTTTCCCCTATATCTCAGTGCCCAGAGCTATGTCCAAGGACGGGGCTCTCTGCCTTGTCTCTTCAGTCTTCTGTCTCTACAGCTCTTAATCCATAATGTTTTGGGAATTTAAGTGTGGTTCCTCTGCCTTGGTGAACCGTGCTTTCAGGCACTGGTGTCTTGATGCATTGTCTGCCAGGGTCCCTGTAGATGCCAGCCTGACTCCAGATGCCTGCTGCCCTCTGTGCTCCTGGGCAAGCGCTGCCCAAGTCGCCCTTTAAATAGATTTAACTCTCTGCTTCCCTCTTGTGGTGCCAGAACGGGACAAGCTTTTCAGTCGGTGAGAATGCCTGTACCACAGGAATGACCAGCACTTCTACACTGGAAGTTATTTGTCAGTCTTTTTGTGGTCCAGAGTTGTAAGATGTGTGTCGTGAGCAGTGGGGCAGGGAAGCTCCAGGAACTGCCTGTGAAGAGCAAAGTATTTCTCCTTTTCACGGGTCTTTCCCTGTTCTATGGCACCTTGGAGCTGTTATGATGATACGACTTGGTCCTGGGGAATGCTGCAGTGTCATCTGCAGAAATATCCTTAGGTGGGCATTTGGATTACTTGGTAGCCCTCCCTGCTTCCAAGTTTAAATGATCACATGGCATAATTTAGTCTGGGATTTGTGTTTGAGTACTGCAGAGCCAACTTCGCACACCTGGACATGTAGTAACTTTGGTGCAAGGGGGTATTGTTGTCTTGGAAACGGGGCATATTCTGGATCAGGAGCCAGGGTCTGAGTTGGTTCCTGCTCTTCTCCTTTCCACGTGGTGATACCAATTGGGATAAGACTGGCTTTTTGGGGTTTTAAGTGAGGAATTTAGGGCTTGTTTTGTGTACGGAATTAATGGTGGTTTGTTCCGTCATGCTTTCACAGGCTTCCAGAGGGCTTCACACAGCTTCGGAGCCTGGGCCATTTGGCCTTGAATGATGTGTCCCTGCAGAACCTCCCCAATGACATTGGGAAGTGAGTATGCCCCTGTTCCTCATAATGAGGAGTAGGGTTGGGGTGGGGACACCATGCTGTTGAGGTAGCAACGCTAGGAGGACTTGGAAGTGAAGAGCGTGCCGTCCCACGTACTGAACTTGCCACTGTACTGAACATACTGTGTGAGCACCTCGAAGCATTGTTCTTGTTAAAAGACAACCTTTTTAAAAAGGTTCCTTTCCTGGTCTCAGCTGCTTCTCCTCCTCCTCTGTGGTCTGTGGCACAGGCAAGGAGTGCATCCAGGCTTCTCAAATCCTCTATCTTTCCTTATTTTATGAGTGCCCGTTTGCCCCTTTCCAAACAGGTGTGGTCTGTCCAATGATGTTGAAATGATTTATGCTGCTAGCAAATGGCCAAGGCAAAGCCCATGGGGCTTCGCCCGTGGGGTGCAGCGCCTCTCCCATGGGATTTGGCTTTGTACACGTGAGGGATTTTATCTTTTGGGGCAGACAGTCCTGTATTTTATATGATGTTTCCTTGACCTGAGTTTGGGCACAGTGTTGTTTCCCCATGATTTTGCAATAAGCAGTCACCTTCATCAGAAGTCATATAAGATCCTCTTTGTTTTTTGCTTTCCCCTGTCATTTCCATTCATGTGTACACACCTACATATATGCGTTTGTGCAGGTCATGAGGGGTGGTCCCAAGGGAAGGGATATGAGCATCTCCTTGTATCCCTGAAGCCCTATTTGGTGAATCTGACTTTCTCGCTCCTTTCTCTTGCAGTTTGGCAAACCTGGTGACTTTGGAGCTACGTGAGAACCTGCTAAAGACTCTCCCCACGTGAGTGTCTGTCTGGTGACTTCAGGAGTCTCCTGCCTGATCGTTCTTACTGATTCCTCAGGGACTTGCTGTTTCTGTAATACAGGCTCTAGCAGTTTGCTTGGGAAGGCTCATTAGCTAAATTAGCTGCATCTTGCTGGATTTCTGTAAATTGGGGTGAGGAGGGAGAGAGATGGTACAGGGCTTAAGAGCAGGGAAGGATGTTCAGAGTCTGTACTCAGCCTCTGTGTCAGGATTCATTTGGAATAGACAGGGTTCCACAAGAAAGCTACTGGAAATGGTGAGAACCATTTTTCCTGGAGAGGTGGAGCAAATACAGATTCATTTGGAAAAAGAGAGAAAAATGTACTGATGTGGATACAGGAACTGAAGGTCATAATTTGAAGAGCAACAGAACACGGCTGAAGATATATTTTGCTTCTGACATTTCTGTTTTCTTGGGTATCCCTTCTGATTGTTCTGGTTGAGCAGTTTGTGGGAATGGATGGGATAACTGGCTTTCCTGCAGCAGACAAAAAATAAGCCAGCAAGGGAGAAGAGGTAAGTCTTGCTAAACGTTTCAGAGGGTTAGGGAGAGAGATGAATTCCTGGTAGAGAATCTGGTTGGTACAGCTGATGCTATCAGGTAGATAGGATGTGGAGAACTAATGAGTCTGTATATTAATTTCTGGTTTGGAGCCCATGAGAGTTGTTTGTTGAGTTTTCTAACCTACGTTAGCTCTGCCAGCTTGTTTTCTGCCTGCTTATCTATCCAACTGATGATTCCCCCAGTCTTCCTTGAATATATGGTGGAAGGGATTCTACCTGACTTCTTTTTGAATAGCAGTGTGTTTTGGGGCCACACAAACTCCTCAGTGAATGTGTGAAGCATGCAACTATTGTCACCTTTCCTCAGTACCTCTTACTATTCATGGCAAGTATTCAACTTGGCTACCTGTACTTTCCCCCCTTGCTTCCCTGCTTTATTTAAAAAAGAGGGCAAAGGAGGCATCTGAATATACAGTGTTCAAGCAAGGCTTTGAGACTCTAAGCAGTTAGGGCTTTAGTCTTGCTTCTTCTGTGATGGCCATGCCTCCCTCACTGTGAGATGTTGCTTTGACTCAGGCGCATGCTCTTCCTGATGGTTATTTTCCTCTGGGACCTGCAAGTACAGGCTTTATATGAGATCAGTTATATCTGCTTGTAGAATTCATGTGTGAGCTTTGACCCAGAGGACAAGACGCTTCCAAAAAGGAGCTGAAAGAGTCTGCACTGATCAGCTCCCAGGCGTCATACCTGGTGATTACACAATGTAGAAGCATAGTTCAAATTAACACTGTCATCTTGTCTCTGATGCCAAAGTCACTGGATCTTTTCTGCACAGAAGTTGTCAGCATTAACACCCTCTGACAGAAAGATGATATTAAGAAACCAGCTGAGATGGCCCCACATGGAATATAGCCACAAGGGAGGACGTGACAGCCAAAGCTCCTTATGCCAGGCTAAGACAGGCAAGCAGGAGAAGTTTGGGTCCTGGTGTTGGGACCCACTGCTGTCTGTTCCATGTGTTCTTTGTGTTCATACAGACAGGTACCACCACTGTGATACACCGTATAAACGAAGAGGTGCAATAGCTACATCCAAAGTTGGGCTTTCAAACTGCAGTGAAGAATGGTCCCAATGGCTTTTCAGCATCTAGGAACCAGCAAGTATCTGGAGTTTGAGAATTCAGTCTGTGACCAAACCCATATGGTTTCTGGGGAGATCTCTCATGCCCAGTGCTCCCTTGTTTCCCTATGTTAGATTTGTATGCCATCCAGCAAGATACTTGTAGCATGCTATGAGTTTTGGTGGTTTTTCTGTGAAAGATAAGTCCAGGCTTGATACTCATTCTGCAGTGCAATTCCAGCGTCTTTTCGTCTTCCCCCAATTCCCCAAATTCTACTTTTGGATGGTTTCCAAAAGTAGAAGGAGGATGTTGAAGGCCAAGGCAGTTTTCATCAGATCTGTCAGTCAAATATGAGATCGAAATCAATGGCCAAAGAAATTTCAGTGGTACTGTCAGGTACTCTACGCAAGTCTGAAGCTCTTGTATTTAGTCTGGTTGCAAATTGTGCCCAAGAATGGCTCTAAAGTCCAAGTGATCTTGCCACAGAGTAGAATGACTTATCAAAATGGATGATGCTTTCAGTTTTCAAGGTTACTGAGCCCAATAGGTAGATGGGCTTCAATACTGTGAATTTGCGACTGCATAATGCATCAGTGTCCTTTTGATTTTTGTTGTTGTTGTTGACCTCCTTAAAAGATCCAGCTTGCAATGACCTCTACTTGTCAAAATTTAATTTCATTAGTTAGTCTTCTGCTGTCAACTGAGTTCTGAAACAGTTCATCTTGTACAGCTGATTATCACTCCTCATCTCTCCCACGCAGATGGGACGCAGCTTGCCAATAATTTGGGAAGGGTAGCTCTCGTTGATGTATTCTCATGGAATAGAGGAGGTGATCTATACTGAGGCATTTTGCAAGACCTCATATATCAACGTGGATTCCACAGCTCACTTGTCCCTATTTTGGGAATTCAAACTGTGAAGGTCCGAAGGGACAGTCAATGCTGCTTCACCCTTCAGAGAAGTCATAATGAGCAAATGTACAGTCATAATGAGGGACTGCTATACAACAGAATCCTTTTGATGATCCTGTTGATAAACCTTTGCTTGAGTTAATAAAATATCTCAAAATTCACCACTGCATAAGGTAAGAACTTGCTTTTCATGTGTAGCCCAAATATTTTTATAGCCTGGCCCAAGCAAGACATACCTCTTTTTTATTGCTTTCTCATAGATTTGCAGCCAACCACCCAACTTCCTTAGCGTGGGTGGTGTTGAGACGTATAGCTCTATTTCCAGAGAAATATAGTGATTTCTGTATTTGGACAATTCCTTATGAAGAGAATAAAAAGAACTGAAGACCCTCCCTACTGGGGAGGTGGGCAGGGCTGAGATGGCAGTTCTGCCCAAGTGTGAAATGAGAGACAGCAACCCCTGTTTGGGGAAGTGGGAGTTGGAGTTAATGGGGTAGGACTGAGAGCTGAGGACACACGAACACCTGGGCTATGTCAGAAGAACTGAATCCTGGTTTTGTGGGGTTGCCTTTTATATCACCACGTTGTAACGTGTTTGGATACTCAGGGCACAGCCTTGAACCACCAGTGTTGACAGGCTTTGGTTCCCGTGCAGGCTTCTCGCAATATCTTGCCTAGTGAGCTTCTTGTCTCTATGTCTTGACCTCTTCTGAGACATCATGCCAGTGTTGTCTTTCCCTTTCTCTTAAGCAGCATGGGCATCCCATTTGGGGAAACTGAGGGTGTTAAATTCGTCATTCCTGCCTCTCCCTGCAGCTATGCTCCCCTTGTCCCTCAAATACGTATCGTCCTCTGCTGACTCTCTCCTGTTATCTGTTAGTTTGTGCCCACGTCCCCATCCTTGCTACAAAAATGGGCAGCAATGTTAAGGTGTGGCTTGTCATCTGTCATGTTTTTGCTCAAAGAGTACTTTATGATGGGAGGGGGAGAAGGCAAATTGGTGACAGAGTGGAAACTGGCTGCTTTGGGACTGCTGGTGCTACTGAACCCAATTCCCTGGTGCAGATGGTCTGGCTTGGGGAAGGGTACCAACTCCCCTAAACTGCTTGGCTCAGAGGGACTATGAAAAAGGATTGCCCCACCTGTTTTAGGAGTTATTAAAAATTATGTAATTTGTGAGATGTGTGTCCCAGATGCTAACCTTCTGTTCTTTCTTTCTTTCTTTTTTTTTCTCTCTTCCCCTCTCCACTCCCTATATCTTGCAGTTCACTCTCCTTCCTTGTCAAGTTAGAACAGTTGGATCTTGGTGGCAATGACCTGGAAGTACTGGTAGGTGAGGGATGGTGGGGAGGGAATATGGGTGGTTGATAGGGGCAAGACCCTGTGCCTCTGTGGAAGCAAGTGGTTTTTCATCTGAAATGCAAAGAAATAGACCCGCAGGTAGTTTGGGAAGATTCTGATCTGCCCACTATGGCCTAGTCATTGTTCTGAGCATAATGTTCTGTTCTTCTGTTGGCCCTTGTGTCTTGCTTCCTACTGTCCTCATGCACAACTTGCTCTTCTGTTTTCAAGCACTTTTGCTCTGGGATGTTAGTTGTTGCTATCTAGCTGCCTAAGGATCTTTCCTTTCCAATGAGACTCTCTGGTACTTCCTTTCTCTTCTGTGTTGCGCTGCCCCAGCCGTTGTTTTTCACTTCTGCTAGGCCAACTTTCTGCCTTTCTCCTTTCTGATTTGATTTCTTTACTGCAAAGTGCAGGCCCATTCCACGTTGTTCCTGGCAGTGAAGTCAGCCAAGCATGGGGCATGTGCCGACTGGACTGGGGTGCCTCCATGGAGGGCTCTGAGCGTAAGCGTGCTGTGAGCCAGTGCACAGTCTCGAAATTCAGCTTGTCTTGACGTTCAGGGACATCCAGTGATATTCTTTAATTTTGCAGCTATGGATTAAGCTGTTACTGAATCCTGCTCTTAATGTTCTGGAATGCTTTTTGGCAGAAACCCATCTGAACTGGGAGGCAAAGGAGTTCGTGCAGCTTGCTGTGCACAAGGCTGCAGCTTGCTTGTGAGAACAGTTGTCTGACACCTGAACCGCACTCCTGCGGTGCATTAACTCCAAACCCAAATGCTAATCAGTGTGTGTGGTGTTTGTGGAGTGATGCTATGAACGTATGTCTACCATTGCTGATGGTGCTGCTATATCATGTTGAGTTGGCCGGTGTTATCCAAATGTTTGTTTTCATGTCTGAGAGGAGGAAGAGGAGAAAGACTCATTTCTTCTGTAAGGCCAGAATTTCCAAAACCCTGTTTAGTACTTCTTTTGCCTGCTACCAGTCAGTCCTTGCTGTTGTCTTCCATGTTTCCTGTTGGGACCTTCTACAGCCAGTATGCCATCCCAGACATTTCCAAACGTATCTGCTGCTATATTGTGGCACACCAACACGTTAGCTTCATAAACCATTTGGTGAACGGTTCTAGGAGGTGTGAAAGCAATAATGATGTCTAGCTTTGCAGAGGTGTGATTTGTAGCATCCTAGAGCAGCTTCTCCCCTGTGGAAGGGACTGATGCTATTACTGTCCTGCTCGGTTACAGCCAGATACTCTGGGAGCGCTACCAAACCTGCGTGAGCTTTGGTTAGACCGGAACCAGCTCTCAGCCCTGCCTCCAGTGAGTACCTATGATTCTATAATTCTATGATTCTATGATTCTACCTGTTCAGGGTCATTGATTCACCACTGTGCTCCCTTCCTCAGCTGCTCCCCCGAGCTGTAGTGTCTCCTTTCTGATCCTAGGAGCTGGGCAATCTCCGCCGCTTGGTCTGTCTGGATGTGTCAGAGAACAAGCTGGAGCAGTTGCCCAACGAGGTCAGTGGGCTAGTAGCACTGACGGACTTGCTCCTGTCACAGAACTCGTTGGAATGCATTCCAGATGGCATTGGTGAGTATTGCGGGATGGGGAGCAGTGCAGGACTTCACTGCCTGGGCAGTGGTCCTGGGCAGGGTGCTTCAGGCAAGAGTGTATGTAACAAGGTATTAGGGCTTGATGGATGTAGTCACAATAGTTGAGTGCGGAAACAGTAGATGATACTGGTGAGCAGAACTCTACAGGACGAGTTCAGGTTCTTGATCTGCATCATGCGTGGTGTGTGAAACCTGTGAACAAGCTTGGTGGGGAAGAAAGGTAGTGCCTGTTTTGTTAGGTACATAATCCCTGGTGGGAGGCATTTCGGCCAGATGAACATAGAACAGCATCATTATCTCTGTGGCATAGTTCACACCTAGCTTGTTGCCCTGGCCAGGTCAGCTGAAGCAGCTCTCCATCCTCAAGGTGGACCAGAATCGGCTGACAGAGGTGACAGAGTCAATTGGGGACTGTGAAAATCTGTCAGAACTCATCTTGACAGAAAACATGCTGATTGTAAGTACACCAGCAGCCACCCTGCCTCTCCTGTGCTGTTCAGTTTAGCCACATATCAGGGATGTTTTCCCATCTTCTGGCCTCTGAGCTGGATTCCCGAGCACGCTCCTGCTGCTCTCCCTTCAGCTGCTTTGATGCACAGTTTCACCTAGCTCACAGGCTCTTGAGAAGACCCTGGTGGAAGCTGCTTTCCCTCACTTTTTTTTTTTCTCTGAAAAAGTCTCTAGGATAGCTAGGATGCTGGCTCTAGGATAGCCAATCCTGAAGCCCATCCAATCTGATGGGAGCAGAACTACATCAAAAGCTGCATTTGGCGAGGGGCTACAGAGTCGTGTAGTTTAAAATGGCCCTGCTCCAAACTGCTCGTGATTTGATTGTTAAAACACAAGTGTTGGGAACGGACAGATGAACAGGAGAAAAATCTTGACCAGTGGTGTTCTGTGTGCTGTGCTGAGGTAAAGAGTTGACATGTAATGGTCTGAACCTGAGGGAAAATCTGTCCCAAAGTTGTAGTGAGAACTTTATCGAAAATGTATCCGTTAGGACAGAGGACAGTTTTTTCCCCCCAGATAGAGGGCGTTATGCCTTTGTACCTTTATTCCACTGCTCTTATCTTTTGCAACTACTGAATCATCTCCTTCCTAGGCCTTACCAAAGTCCCTCGGCAAGCTGGCCAAGCTGACGAACCTGAACGTGGATCGGAACCGGCTAACATCCCTTCCAGCTGAGATTGGAGGCTGTGCCAATCTGAACGTGCTGTCCTTGCGAGACAATCGCCTGGCCCTCCTGCCACCAGAGCTTGCCAACACCACTGAGCTTCATGTCCTGGATGTGGCCGGGAACAGGTCAGCAGCAGGAAGGGTCAACAGGCTTGTAGGCATGTTCCTAAGGAGGCTGCTGTGAAGGAGCAGCATGGGCTGGGCTCTGGTGTGTTTTGGGAGACACTGGATCTGTGCTAATCCCAGGATCCGTGGTTTGGAGAAGCCCAGACTGGCTGCTTAGGGCTCTGGAAAGAGGGCATGTGTGTCTCAAGCTTTGCCTGTTAAGTCCTTCTCCATGTTACTTGAATACAGGGTAGAACTAATGCAGAAGTGTGGGGGCATTTTGCCATGTGTGAAATAAAGATCAAGGGAAATCCCTGGTCCACTGTCTTCCTTCCCGCAGATTTTGTAGTTTTGTGTCATCAGTCCTCAGGTGATTGGTGCCAAAGCCTTGTTTATGATATGCACAACCCCACAGTGTGCAAATATCTGTGATCTGTTCTGAAAAATTCTGCTGGTTTTAGCTGCAGTTCTGTTAGCTGAGCTGGTATGTTTTGTAGCCGTTGGAAGCTGACTAGAGCTTCTGCTTGGAACGCTCTCTATACTGGTCCCTGAAAGCGTAATTTTTCTGTCTTCAGACCCCTCTTCAAAGTTCACCATTTTCACATTGTTGATGGGAGTTGTCCTCTGCTAAAAACTGATGAGGGTGGGTTACTGGAGTCCAGTCTGTGGCTGTGGCAGAGCCATATGCAGCATGAGCCACACATGCCAGTGTGTCTAAGAGTGAGGGATCCTGCAGTGGCTTGGCTCTGTCCTTCTCCAATGCAGGTGAGGCAGTGTGGAGCTGAGTTGAAGTTCCTTCATTACCAAGTAAGTTTAACCAGCAGTTCTTCTTTTCTTTTATAGACTGCAGAACTTGCCATTTGCTTTGACAAATCTTAACCTGAAAGCCCTGTGGCTGGCAGAAAATCAGTCCCAGCCCATGCTGAAATTCCAAACAGAGGATGATGAAAAGACAGGAGAAAAAGTTCTCACTTGTTACCTGCTTCCCCAGCAGCCCTCTCCTAGCCTAGGTAAGAGACTGCATTATGAATGCTGTCTGCAGTACTGTGTACTCTGGAGAGTGCTGTAGGGAAGAGGCCTTGAACCTTCCTCTCTGCTTGGTCGGACTGTTCTTCGTTACTGTGATACCTGTAGCAGACCTAGGCTCTTGAATGGCTGGTGGCAACTTTCCAAGGCAGAGATTGTTAAAACTGAGAAATTGCTTCTCTGCCAGGTGGTAAAGAAGCTACAGCCTAGTTTTCAAGTCTTCTGCTTTGATCTATTGACCGACTAGTTCATTGCCTGTAAGGTTTGCTTCCTGTCATGATGACATTCTTGTGTCAATACTTCTGATTCATGCCTTAATCCTACCTTTTTCCTTTGTTCTTGGGTAAGGAGTGCTAGAGCTGAACCATTCAGGTCCTTTTGTAGAGGCTGCTATTGATCTGGTGGGAGATGTACAAGAGGTGACAAGATCTGGAGGCTATATCCTTTATCCTCAAAGGCCTCTGTGGTTTGATGCCATGGGCAGATAAAACAGAAGTGCCCTAATGGGTTGAGAACTGTCTTTCATCCAAGCCTACAACCCTGCTCGTTCAGTAGCTCCCACTGTGTTATCTTTCTCCCCAGAGAATCTTTTGCAGAACAGTGTGGATGAGAGCTGGACGGACACCAATTTAAACAGAGTCAGTGTGATTCAGTTCCTGGATGAACCCAAAGTAGATGATGAAGAGGAGTCTGGAGCTGAGAGACGGGTAAGAAGAAGAGTTTCTGAAGGCTTGTTAGCTCCCTATGGAAACATAGGCACAATCTAAATTTTTTTCCTAAGATGGGGAGGCATTATGGTGTTCGTGTTTCACACGGTAATACTGCTGCAGACATGTATTATATTTTTGCAGTCCGAAGGACATTTGGTGTGCTGGGGAGACAAGCAGGTATAAAAGAGAATTCCCTGAGAGCCTTTGTGCAGATTTACATTTTGACGGTTGTCCCATGAGAGTTGAGCTGTGACTGCTGACCGGCCCATGGAGCATTCAGGTAGTCCAGAGATCCTAATAATCAGAGCACTGTCAGGACTGGATTTTAGTTGACCCCCCCTCACGGAGAAGAGCTGCAGCTGCACAGCCAAACTCGAACCAGGCAATCTCCACCCCTCCAAGTTTCTAGTTGAAGATGTCCCTGCCCATGGCAGGGGGGTTGGACTAGGTGACCTTTAAAGGTCCCTTCCAACCCAAACTATTCTATGATTCTATAAGTATGGAGCCAGATGCAAGCCCATGCTGTGGAGTATCCTGTTACTAAAGTAGCTAAACACTTTAGACAGGCAGCCTCAAAAACTATAGAAGGTCATTTTGCTTTAATTGCAAATGCAAAGGGCAGGATAAAAGTTTCAGTTTCCAGCAAATACTCTGTCGGTTTAAATCTCTTGCAGGATTTTTTTCCCTTTTTATTTTGTGGAGAGAGATTCTCTTGAGATCTGAATCCTTCTAATAAATTGCATTTGCCTCTGTCCTTGCAGCATGTATATGCTACTGGTGTTTGGAGGTTTTGTGGGGGGTTTTTTATTGTTTTTCACATTGTTATTGATTTTAGAATACTGTTTTTCTTGACTCTTAGCTGGGATGGAACTAGCTAAGCATCACAAATTCTGGTAGCGTACAGGCTTGTCAGACATGTTAAGAAACACCAGAGGGATTAAGAAGATATTCCACCTGTGTGTTCCTTTATGGGTTTCTGTGTTGACAGTTTCGCATTTATCAAGCCTGAAGCACAATTTAAAACTTCCCGTCTTTATAATTCCTCCCAATCCCTCTATCAGATGGAGAGCAGGATAATGTCAGAGAGAGAGCTCTGAGAAATGTTATCTGCCTCCATGTCTTTCCTCTTCCCAGCTGCAGGCTGTAGTAGTGGAGAGGTCCAGATCAGACCCTGCAACGTGACATTTAGCTTATGTACAGCTGGGGCTCTAGCACTCTTTGGTTCAGTCTTGAGGTGTTGCACATGCTGCTCTGAGTTGAATCTGTTGAACGTCCTGCTCTGAGTGTTTTTCTTTGATAGGGCTTACAGCGCAGAGCAACCCCTCATCCCAGCGAGCTGAAGGTTATGAAGAAAGTGATTGAAGTTCGGCGCAATGAGGTATATGCTGCAAAGCCTGACACGGACCTGAATTCTCCTCACTCAGAAGTGAGTGCTGTTCATTAAGAAATGGATAACCATAGAGAACATGAGGCAGACTTGGGGAATGGGGAGGCAGTGTGTGTAAGCTGGGCAGAAAGAACTTACTTTTGGGAAAGATTGAAAGGGACTGGGCATGGATTACCTGGATTCCAAGGGTTGGAATCTGCCTTGTGGTGTCAGCTGGGGCCACTGAGATAGAGCAAGAGATGCAACCAGGAGACAGAGAACAGCGTAAGGAGAATTGTGTGCATTGGTACCACTTTTGTCATAACACAGGGAGAGGAAAAGAAGGCTCTGATATTCCCAGTAAAGAATGATGGGAACAGAGTGCTCAGAGGAGGCATCTTGCTGCCCAGGTGTGATACTAGGAATAAATGCCTACACAGATGGTGGAACAGGGGTGGACTTAGGTGAGATGCAGCAGGCGTGGCAGTGAAAGCAACGGGCAGCCTGAAGAAAAAGATGATTCTGTTGGTACTGGATCATACCCCACCTTGCACCAGTCATACTACATTGCTCCGTCTGCTGCTTTGGTTTCCATCTTGACTTTTATAATCGTCTTCTCAGGAGAAGAGGCTGAGCACCATGTCAAATCGCAGTGAGGACTCCCACCTTTCCAACAGCACTGCCTCTGCTGACTTTAGGGGAGAGGAGCAGGGAGAAGAGGGAGAGAGGAGCTGGCCAAATGGGCAGGTGCCTGAGATGCAAGAGCTGGAGAAGGAGGCAAAGCCCAGAGCTGAAGAAGAGCATAAGGAAGCCGCTGACCAAGAGGAGGAAGATGTTGAAGTGGAATACAATGAGGTAGGAGCCTAGGAACTGCAGCAGGGTCATGGTAAAAAGTGGAAGGACTTGAAAGTTTCAGAGGAAATGGTAAATGGATGTACAGAGTGTGATTTGGGCATCACTGGAGGCAAATACAGGCTGTAGAAGCCAAGTGCAAGTAGAGATTCAGGCAGCCTGTGGGAGCTGGGTCCATGGGAGACTGGGAAGGACAGTGTGGGAGCCAGACAGGGACTACGGGAAAGTCAGGGTTACAGGTTTGAGTGCCCTCAATCCCTGGAGCTGACAGAAGATGTATCTGAGTGAAGGAGTTGATATGGAAAAAGGCAAGTATGGTGAAATTTTAATACGTATTCCTGCATCTTCTTTAGCGCAAAAGCACCAACACTGGCTTTGCCTGTGTTGGTAGTGGGGGGACAGCAGGTTTCTGCACTGCCTCCAGATGTGGCTGTTACCTGAGGTTCACAACCTTTCTGGGGCTTTGCCATTGTAGCCCACTGTACACTTCGCTGAGGACACACTAATACGGAGTGAGGATGAGGATGAAGATGAAGAGCGACCATTCCCAGTGGAGAAACAGAGGCTTATCCGCAAGGATACGCCCCATTATAAGAAACACTTTAAGATAACTAAATTGCCCAAGCCAGAGGCAGTGGTGGCACTCCTGCAGGGGCTGAACAGTGATGGAGTCCCCAAAGAGGAAGAGGAGTTAGGAGGCTGCAATAACAACACAGAGCCCGAGGATCAGGAGGAAGCGTGGGATGAGGATGACAGAAAGAATGGAGCTTTATCTGCTCAGCCATCAGTGAAGGTAAGGTCTTGTGGGGAGAGGGGAAGGTCAGAGGGGTGCCAGACCTCCCTTCTGCTACTTTGAACTACCAACCAGGTTGACATGGTACCAATGAAAATGTTGGCAAGAGTCTCCTGCACTTCAGGAGAGACATGCTGAGGGTGGGAGAGCTGAAGTTCGTTCTGGGGCTCATATGATTGTCCAAGAGCTGTGCCATGTTGCTTATGTCTGACTCCTTGCGCTGTATCCAGATTCTTGCACCCTCCCCATTATGTGTGTGATGATGTGTTCTGTGCTGCAAGAACAGTTCTTTTGTCCCATCACTGACAGGTTCTTACATTCCTTTCAATCGCCTCCTCGCTTGCTGGTTGTTACACCTCATTTGCAACAGGCTGAGCTTTATCCCTGGATGGATCTAATCTCAGGCTTATGTTCAGGCTGCTTACACTTGTCTTTCTGCCACAGTGCTTCCTGGAGAGGAGTGGGTAGTGAGAGCAGACAGGAGCGTGCCCTTGCCGTTGGTTCCACCCTGTACCTGCCCGAGCACAGGGTCTGATGAAGTGTGCATTGGGATTTAGGGGAACTTGTGCTCTGGAGTTTTGCCATTACCACGGGCCATGGGGTTGTGATGGGCCTTTCTGGTTATGCTGGGGACTGATGTGATAGGAGATCCTTGGCTCTACTCAGCTGAATCACCATGTTTGGTTAGGGACACACAGAGATTCTTGCTTGAGGAAGATCCTCACAATGGAATAGGAATATACTGATGAGGGACACTGCATGAGGTTAGACCAGTTCTTATTGAAGTTGGTGTGATGATTTTGTGAGGTGTATTTGGCAGGCAGGGATTAGGATGTGGCTGAATCTCCATCACAGTCTGACACCAACAAATCTCACGGGCAAGATGCGGGTCTCTGAACTGGTGGAAGATGCTGGAGTAAAATCTGTTCTTGCTGTTACCATACACACTCCAGAGTATTGGGATCATTTCCACCCCACGCTGGAGTTCAGATTGCTCAGGGGAAGATTCTTGCACTCAAGTTTGCTTTGGAGCTTTTCTCTCAGTGGATGCTTGCCTTGCTGTATCTGAGCTGATACAGCTGGTCCCTTGCCCCCTAGGGACGAGGCATGTGGTTTCCTTACTGTTTGTGAAGTTCTTCAGAATGAAAAGGAGTTGCTGCTGCTGCTTGTAAGAATGTGTGAAGCCATCTTGAGTCCCCTTCATCCAAGACCTGCCATACATGGGAAATGCCCTCACCCAAAAAGCTTATTTTAGTGAGGGACTCAAAGCTGAGAATGCACTGACCCATTGGCAAAACCTGTAAAGTCTACATAGGCCCTGAGACCACAGGTTTGGTGTATCTATCAGAAAGTTATTTTTGTTATTCGCTAAGCCTTCTGCCTGGAAATCACAGTTTTCCTTTTCGTGGGGCTGGGTTGGATGCCTGCTCCATGAAGGCAGATTTATTAGCTTGCCTCCTTAGTCGTCTTCCAGCAGTGGGAGTGTGGGGAGCAGTGTCCCTGTGCAGTGCAGTTTCAAGTAAGAGGTGCTGCATACATGTATTGAAGAAGGAGGTAGGACAGGGTGTGCAGGAGGCTGAATCCTTAAACCAGAGGGTTTTTTGCAGGGACAGTTGGTTTTCAAGAGAAATTCTAAGGTTTCCTGCATTTGGGAGCAGGATCCCTGGGTGTCTGGCAGGATGCACTGTTCCATTGGAGGCTCCTCCCTTTGCAGGAGGGACCAATGCAGGTTGATTTGGGATCGCTTCATTCCTGTGCAGCAGCTGGGTGTCACCAGAGGTCCCTTTGTGCTTTTCTCCTGTGTTGTTTAATCCTTCCTTCTTCACTGAATGACTTGGTACGGAAGGGGTAAAATCAGCTAATAGTGTTCAGCTTGTGAGCTTGGTGGTCACAGCCTGAGAGTGCCAACACAGACAAAATACGGCCTTAAAGATGCAGCTTCCAGTTAGCTGGGCCAAAGAGCGCTGACACTCTGCATGTTGTGAGCCCTGGGAGCAGCCCTGTCGCTGGTACTCGCTGGTAGGTGGTAATCAGGAGTGGTGTGAGTGGGGTCTGCTCGGTGCTGTGTGGCCAGACCTAGCAGAGTGGTGTGCGTTTGTGTGTTGGGTGGTGGTGGTAGTGGTGGCGGGTTTGGTTTATGCTCCACTAATCCGCATGCCTCTTTGCTGGTTCCTGTCCTAACAGGGGGTGTCGTTTGATCAAGCCAATAATCTGCTGATTGAACCTGCTCGCATTGAGGAGGAAGAGGTCTGTACCACTCCTACTGTTCTCTCTCTGCCAAAAATCATTCAGTCTGCTTGATTTGCTTCCCAGGCTCACCCATTGTTGTAGGGGAAACTCTGATCTCTCTGGGTCAAGTGGCTTCTGGACCTGACTGATCACAAACACACTCGTTTGATCAAGCCAATAATCTGCTGATTGAACCTGCTCGCATTGAGGAGGAAGAGGTCTGTACCACTCCTACTGTTCTCTCTCTGCCAAAAATCATTCAGTCTGCTTGATTTGCTTCCCAGGCTCACCCATTGTTGTAGGGGAAACTCTGATCTCTCTGGGTCAAGTGGCTTCTGGACCTGACTGATCACAAACACACAATGATTGTTTCC